TGTGTGCTTAACGTCGTCTATCCACTACTGGAGTTCATGCAATCTGTCTAACCTGTTTTTCCGGAGAGCATCTTGTTTGCCGGTAGATATTTAACTATCTCTTAAACTATTTTTAGTTAGTGAGTTTAATGTTATCATTTTTTTTTTTTTTTTTAGGCGCCACCCAAAACGGCACCTCCCGGCAAAAAAATAGTGGGCTTTGGCGTGAAAACCCCTGGGGGAACCAAAAATCCCAAATTTACCCCCCCCGCGGGGACCACGAGACCCCCCCCCCCTTTCAATTGGGGGGCCCCCCCCCCCCCCCGGGAACGTTATCCACCTTTAAAACAACTAGGGACTGGAAGTTTCGACTTCTTAACCAAGATCGAGAGAATGAGGGTCTTGTGCCGTCGCGGATTTGCTGCGCGGGACTATCTATACCTGAGTAGTACTAACGGTGTGGGTTGTTTTCGAATCTCACTCGTGGTCGGTAATTACTGATTTTGATTTTATAATAGCCCACGTTCAATATATTAAAATTCTAGCATGACGCCGAGGCTTTAAACTCAAAATTGCAAAGTTTTCACGACTCCATTAGAGACTTGAGCACAAAGAAAACCAAACCAAATACAGAAAAATGATCAGAACTCCTTGGAATCATGTTAGAATTTTAATACATCAAACGTGGGCTATTAGGGCACACTTTGTGCCTAACTTACATATTTAACTACCTGTCATGAAGCTTCCTCACTCCACACGAAGGAAGAAAGTTAGCGAAACACGTTTGAAAAGTGCGTGCAAGCTGTGAAACGCGACACCTTTGGGCACCATGAAAACAATACAAGTTCCTTAAATATAATAAGCACATAAACAACATTGAACTTGAAATTGTCAACACTGAGGATGAGGAAACTGTATATACGCTATATAATCTTCAGTGCAACTGCTCTCTCTGTTTTCCATTTCACACAGAGCCAGATGACCCAATTTACAAATTGCAAAAAGCAATTGGGAACGTGAGAGGATCAGATGGAGCTACGCAAGCTCTAACTGGGCTAAAGGAGCAGTGGAACAAGATCCCATTTAGGGATAGACTAGCCGTAACGATGACTCTACAAGTCGCAAGCAGACAAATTGGAAACTTTGCCAACGCGGGAGATGATCCCATTGGTGCAATACAAGGAGCAGCAATTATGGTTGGACAGTTTGGAGCACTTTTAGGTCCAGGCGGACAAGCTGCTGCCATAGCCTTGAGCTTCGTTTCCGGGTTTCTTAGTCTTTTTGGAAAGGGAGGAAAAGAACAGAAATCTATCGGGCAAATTGTACGAGACGAGATAGATGAAGCATTGGCTGCGTTTTCTGAGCAAACCCTCACTAACCAGGCGAGTGGCGTCGTTAGAGCGTTCACAGTTTCCAAGGCATATGCTGATAGCCTTGCTGGGTCAGGCAAGAAGCTTACTGTTAACCAAGCAAAATCATTACAGGTGAATGTGCCACTGTTTCATGGCATGCCATTCATGGGAACATTGGCATCTGAAATAGAACGACTTCTTAACGCCAACGAGGTGGACGACGCCAAAAAGACATTGAAATACATTGAGTTGTATGTAAAGATGGCAGTTTTAAAGGATATGATTATGCAGGAGGTGGCCTCTTTGTTACCAGAGGAGCTTGAACCCAACCGACAAGCGCTGCTCAAGTCTCAAGAAAGACTACGCCTTCAGCATAGGGAGCTCATAAGATTCCTTCGTGATGGTGTTGTCGGTATGGTAGCTTTGGGTTACTTCGATCCCGATGTTTACCCAATCACAGATTCCTATTTGACCTCCGTATTGAAATTACCAGATTACGATCGCTCTTTGGCCGGTTCAAAATGGTGTCTGACTCCACACATTCCCTGTCAAAAGCTTTTACCAATATCCCGTCATTCCTATGGTATTGACAAAGACGAAGTAAGATTGAAGATGGATCCTTACTACGTATCTAGACCTTCAAGCGAAAGCAGCTGCATCTGGAAACTTATCCCTCATGGAAACAATCTCTATACTGTTGAGATTGGAGATGATAAATACCTGTCATTGGACTCTGAATCTGAGGGGAAAGTGGTAACGTCGGCCAAGGCGGATCTTTGGGAGATCGACGGTGCTCATAAGAAGAGGTATGAGTTTCTTATTTTTCCTATGTCATAATCTTTACGTTTTTTAGTGTTTCCTTTTTTTCTGTCACCGTACAAAACACTGAATGAATGTATTAAGTCAACTAATTTAAGTTAAATCTAAAATATGTGATGGTATTGGGGTGGTGGTGGAGGGAGAACAATAGAAATGTGATGGTGATGGTGGTAGAGCAAAAAAAGGAGGAATGTAGAAGGAAAAAAGGAGGTGGAAAAGTGAAAAATTGTTTTTGGTGAAAGATTTGCGGGCCAAGAATCAGTGAGCCTGAATTGGAAATGAAAGCGGCAGGGAAAAAAACCTGCACATATCCAATGCACCTATCAATGTAAAGCCGGCAAGGGGGGGGCGGGGGGGAAGTAGGGCATGGGGTAGGGATTTGACATTTTCCAAAAGTGTGGAGTCAAATTCCCCGCCCACGGGCAAATCATTCCAGTCAGATGCAACCAAATTCCATCACCCCGGGCTGCACATTACGCTGCCANCAAAAATCCCCCCACCGAGCGCAAGAAAAAAAGGAACAACCCCCCCCCCCGGGGAAACAAGGGCACACCAATGCCCCTCCCCCGGCCCCCCCACACACACCCAACCCCCCCCCCCCGCCCCGCCCCCCCCCCCCCCTCCCGCCGGCATAACATTGATAGGTGCATTACCTTACGACTCAGAGATTTTTTTTCACAGGCGAGTTAGTGCTTTTCCTTCCATAAATAAGTCATACTCTTACTTCTGATTTTGGCAAACCTAGGCAAGGCTTTAATTTTTTTGTTGTTGTAAGGTTGTCACGTGAAAGTATTGTCATGAAAAGAAATTACTAACACGTGACCTTATCGTAATGAGAATCCTCCATATTTAACGTTGCAACTTTAGGAAATGCCAATCAGCCATTTGTTTTTATATCGGGTAGACTTAGTTATAGCGTTTGCCACAAGTACACAAGTTTCCTCTTCTTGTGATGAAATGTCACTTTAATTTTGTTAGGAATCTTAAGTTTTCTTTGTTGATGGAAAATAATAGTTTCGAGTTGTACTAGTTTATAGAGTTCTACTTGTGTAAATATAACAGACTGATATCACGTTTGCCTTGGTCGCGTGTAGCAATTGCTCACAACAATTAGAGCGTAATTAAAAATCATCAGAGGGTGCATGTGTTGTAGCCAGCCTTCAGAATGGTTCAAGTTATCATAAGAAGAAAATTCAAGCTGAAGCCACCTGAAACTAGCTAGAATACGATCTAAAGCATTGTCATCAAGGATGCATCGGATAATAAGTTAATATTTACATGTAGATAAAAGGGCTGCGGAGAGAGCATAGAGAGCATGCATTTTTCTAACATCTACCTTTGTTGAGACCTTCATATCCTCGATAATTACATAATAATATAATTATATTTGTCTCTTACTTTAACATTTTGATTGCTTTCACAAATTAGAAATTGCATCATAACACAATCTCGGTGGAAATTTTTTCTTTAGAAATATATCTTTTATAAAACAGAATCCGTTATAAATGGGGGAGCGAGGAGAATGAGCAGTGGACCAACATGCAGCTAGAACCTGAAATGGGAAAGATTTCTACGTCACTGTTCACTTCTGTTGGAAAAGTGATATTTAGATTGACAAGTACCGACGTTGGATATGTTTGGTCCATTACAAAGGTATGTCGTCTAAAGAAACTAAGGAGGAAACGATCTAACGACCGTCGAAAGGCCTACTTTTTTACTCTAACAAGTTTTTTGGGAAGTTGGTTCAGCGGTTTCATTTAAGCGTAATGTCTACTGCTTGATCTGTATCTCAGGTGATCGCGAAATTAAAAGGCTGGCAATTTCTCAGTTGTTTACCAACAACGAAAAAATCTCTTCCAGCTAGTGTTGTAATAGGGTCCATAAACTTTATACCGCTTGTATTTCCATAAAAACATAAAAAAATAAAAATTAAAAATAAAACTAAAGTTTGGGAAGCATAAGACGTAATTAAAAACTGACAAGTATCATTTGTTGGCATGTCACAGGCTTTTCGTGAGAGCTGGCTATAATAACTTCCAATTTGCCAAACTGCCAGTGAATCTGGATGAGGGAAAGGTTGATAATTTACTATTTATACTTGTAGGGAGTCATGAACGGTTATGCGGGCTACAAAAATGAAGAAAATGAAGAAGCTGAATAAAGAAACTGCCTTAGCAAACTGATCCTCAGGGAGAGGAACAAAAAGGAAAACAAGAAAACTTTATCGTCATTTTAGTCTGCAGTCTACATTGGTCGATAAAGAATAAAGGCGTTCATAAAAATACACATCCTTTATTAGTAACTTTCCGAAGTGAGTAACGTAATGCAGGGTATTTCTAGTCCTCCCCTCCCCGCCCATTTTTTCCCTATGGTTGCCCTCGGTCATCCAAAAATTTTTTATCGTTTTCGATTCCTCAAGGTTCCTTTGACACTTGAGGTCAAATGCCCAAGACGGTGCATTGTTTGTAGCTCGGAGACTTGCTTCGTCATCAAGAATTCAATAAAATGCTTTTTCATCGATTTAACCGCTTTCACATCATTGTTCAGATCGGAGCACAACAAGTTTGGTGAGGCTCGAGTGCTGGGCTCCAAGCAAGATAGTACTGCAGTCGTTCAGTAAAAACGCGCGGTTGTTGGGGAGAGATAGGGCTCTTTAGCTTCCTTTTTCCCGCCACTGCCCCCTTAAATCCCATACCACGCGCGCGCTTATTCACGTGCCTTTCACTTACGCGTCATCCCTACTCGAGGCAATGGAGGCCTGGGCACCAAATTAAGGGGTATCGAAGTTCAAGTATGAAGGGATCTTAAAATGTTTGAAGCCGTAATGATTAATTTTAATACTTTTTGACATTGCCTGGCATAGGAAATTAGAGTATGTTGCTGCTTTGTTTGCCGTTTTCTGTTGTTTTCGAGATTTTAAGGCCACGTTTACGCGTACACCGTACTAATCACATGGAACCGCACTGTCAATAACCGTATAGTCATACTATAATATGGCGAATAACCCTAGCTGGAATATGGTGCGTTTTGATATTGCGGGAACTATTGATTGTTGGTTGCTTTTTTTCGGTGTCGGTTGTTATTCCGTGTCTTTTCAATCTTTTGAATTATTTAGTAATTGTACTCTCCCGTAGCCTGCGAGCAGGCACTTGTGCAAATAAAGCAGGCTAACCCTCCCCCAACACTAGCAAATTAAACTACTACTAAACTAAGAGTATGGGTTTCCTATGTTCATTTTAACTACTCCATGGAAATCAGTGCATTTACACCAGTTTATCCAGTAAAATTTTCTTTGAGCTGTTTTTATCTGCCTTTTGTTTATTTTGAGAATTTCTCTTCTTTAATCCGACGTTGTGGTTTGCCGTTTGTTTGTGACTCTAGATGTCTCTACTACCATCGGGGAAGGACAAGAGATCTCCGCGTACTAATTGGTGGTCTCTTTGGAGTGGTCAGCAGGTTTTGTTGGGTGGGAAGAAACTCATAATTTTCACTGTCCAAAATCTATTAAACATGTTCCTTTCAGGTTTGTCCTCTATACAAAAAGAAAAATACGTGGAACGAGATGATATGGTATGAAGAAAGAATAGATCGACTCGTATACCAACAGATACTTTTACATGGCCTATAGAGAATACAATCTTCTTCCGGATAAACACGTTTCCTTCCCTCCGGGCGTGACTGGCTCATAACATATAGTCCCTCTTGCAGAACGAAGTCAAGTAATAAGATGGCAACCCCTCCAAAATTATTTGTTAGGCTAAATTGTGTCAAAGTCATCAGAAAAACTAGATAGCAAACTCAAGCATTTTAAGCCATGGCCAGAGCCTAATTTGCATAGAATCTAATAATGATCAAAACCATGAAAATTTACCAGAATTAACCTTTCAAAATTTGGCAACCTCGGAAAAAATCGCTAACCCTAATTTTCTTGTTACGTAAGAAACCAGATATTTGTGTCAAGTGACCAGTTTAGGTCAAGTCCAAGAAAAACGAGAAAGCTGAAAATGTGATGGCGAGATGCCACAAAGTAGATATTAAATAGAGTATTTTTTTTCTATTTTTGTTCCTCGTATGAATCTGGCCGGGATGGTTGAATCGCATTTTTATTTAATTAATGATCAGAAAAGCAAAATAGACACTTCATCTGTTAATTTTTTTTTAAGAAATTAAAAATTCTTACCGTTCCGGCCACGGAAAAACTTCGTACGGTAATACAAACATTTATAAATGGTTGAGACTTAGTTGTAATCAACCATATTCCTCAGTACCCTATTCAGAATTTCCTTTTGAATATTGACCACATTGGTTCAACCCTAGAAAGAAAGGTTCTCGAAAGTTTTTAGCAACTTTTAGAATTAAAGCGGCCTTAGAAGAAAAACGGCTTTAATCAGTTCCTTTGGCCGCGTTGTAGGCGTCGCTAGAGCAAAACAAAACGTTCAATGAATAATGAATTAGTTACAAGTCATTAAAACAATTCGCGAAAAAAACAAACTGGCATTACTTACACAATTAATTGGGTCAACAAGCCAACTTTAGTTTTCTTTCTCTCTCGCTCCATTTTTTCTGCTGATTAGTCTTTCTTTTTTACAATCAGTCTTGTTGCCCATAGTAATCGTCTTTCTTTTGTACGAAATTGTAGACTAATTTTGGCTGGCAGCAAAGGGACAAATTTAATCTTCCAAAAAAAATTTTTAAGTAGGTAAAAAGCAAAATTGGCTGTGGTTTTTCGCCCAAAACGTTACCTTTGTTCGAGCTTGTTCGTGAGCGTAACTCTGTTCTGATTGGTCAGAATATCCAAAACAAGTTATCGGTAGAAAAATCTATCTTTGTTGATGTTATTGCTTACCAACTTATTAGCTTAAACGGAAAGCTAAATGTGTTCAGGGAGGAAAATATGCATCATTCATTTGATGAGACTGATGGAAGTTTTATTTGCCATATAAACTCAGGCTTTTTTCCATACAAGCTCTCATATAAACTTACCTACAAGTCGAGCTCAAATTAATTCGCGAGCGCGAAGCGCGAGCGGTAGACTTTTTGTGTAATGAGAAGCGAAGGACTTTGAGAAAGTCGAGCTCTCATATTACCCCATCCTCGGAGACCCGGGGGCAGTTAGTCGGGTCGATAAAATGTTCGTGGTGAAAGTTTACTGTAAGATCTTACAGTAAACTTTCACCACGAACATTTTATCGACCCGACTAACTGCCCCTGGGTCTCCGAGGATGATATTTCCCTTGGGCTGCCTGTGTTGACAATTCGTTTGCAGGCCAGGATGCCAAGGAAGGCTGGGCTACATTCACACTGTACAAAATGGCGGCAAGCGATCTTGTAAGGTACGTATCCTATGTTTTCTTCTCATTTAGCTTTAAAAAGACATAAATATGATTAACTGGTTGACGAAAGGTTCCCCTCTTTTTTCATTTTTGGCAGAGAAGGGAATGAAGCTTTCGTTGATGACGATTTTGAAGTTGCTATAAAGGTAAACGGGTTTAAAATAATACGCTTTCCGTCACCATGTTATTTAATAACATAAGGTGCTGTGCGATGTTGACGAATGAGAGTGAATGGTGCGTACTATACATATCATGCAGATATAGTGAAATAAAAAATAATAACTTTGAAAAATAACAATATAAATTGTAATGAGGTCGCTAAAGCTTATGTTGTGTTGCAGAAATACACAGAAGCTTTAGAACTAAACGCGTATGATGCAGAGACCTACCTAAAACGAGCAGCAGCTTACATGAAGCTTTCAAATAACCAAGGTATTTGAAGAAATGCTAAAGTGTACACAACATGCATTACTTATGTAGAAGTCTTCTTTGTTTATGAATTCCAGTGAGACGCATGGTAATTGATAAGACAAACCAGCATGCAAAGAAAGTCATGGCATAAATACCACTTGTGATATTTCAGAATTGTCTCAAATTTCATTTGCCTAAAGGCCTGTCAAATTACGCATTTAACAATTTAGAAATATCACTTGTGGTATTTATGCCATATATCTCTACAAATCATGCTATTACCTATACTAATTGCTGGATTGTGCAAATTACAACAAATGTATGAACCTTCTTAGCCTGGCCTCTGGCCTGTCACATTGGCTTTGCTAGGATTTTAGCTGAATATCGTCACAACATTTTTTTGTCAATTATATTTGTAGCTGCTGCTGCAGATGCTTCTTCAGCTGTTAGTCTGCAACCACAAAATTGCAAGGCACACTTGAGAAAAGGGTATGGAGTTGAGTACATTCTGTACATTTTTATTTATTTATTTATTTATTTATTAAATAATAATTTAAAAGTACCTTCTTCACTTATATTTTGCTGTAGTCATTTCCTATTATTGCTGACAACCTTAGGACCATGAGTTTGAAGATCCTTTGTAAAGAAATTTGATAATGATGATTGAAAAAATGATTGGTCTTGGGAAAATTGTAGTAGCTGAGGTCAGCACATTGTATTCATGTGGTACTGATTCAGTAGCAGAAAACATTTGGACAGACTGGACAACTTATTCATTACAGCAAGATTGAAAAAAAGGTCTTATCTTGACATTCACTGGCGACTGCTACTGACATTGATAGTAATCAGTTTCACTCTGCTCTTTTGTCTTTGATTGCAGAATTGCTCTTTTCCATCTTGATGATTTTGTTGCTGCCAAGCAGGTTTTTTTAGATGCTTTACAACTTGACAGTGAGTAGGGGAATAAAGATGACTGGTAAAATAGGCAAAACATATGATGGGAAGCTAACTAGAAAACCTAACAGTTTATTTAGCTTCCCAGCTCGCACTTTTATAATTTTACCATGAGCTAAATAAAGAATTACTATATTTAACTCCCGTAGTAGCCCGTGAGTGGATATGTGTGGGGAGGACACTATACAGAGTTTTCTCTTGCATACTTTCGTTGTATTGAACTCTAAAAAAAGCTAAAAGTTGACAGACTCTTTAGTTGTGTTTTGGTCTTTCATCTCTTGTATATTAAGGGTTGTATCCCATGATTTTGGCTGAAGATAGGTCACGTGACTGGCCTGAGCTGCAAAGGACCAATAATAATATATTTATTGGTGATTTTTTTTTATCATTATAAGTATCTTTATAAATTTTTGTCTGTGTATGTGAAACAGGTCAGACCAAGAGATTACAACCACTCATGCAAAACAATGTGCATAAACACCTCTCAACTTTCCAACAAAATTTTATCTATTATACTTGCTGTTTGTGAGCCATTCAGATTTAATATCGTCCATTTGAATGGGCTGGGTAAAAACAGTGTAATAATACATTGTTTCTTTTCTATTATTCCCATCTTTTTTTGCAGAAGAAAACAAGGAACTAAAAATGTGGATTAGAAAGTGTGATGCTGAGTTAGACTGTAAGTGTTTTGATAGAACATGCAGTCTTAAGGTAAAATTAATCTTTTCACTGTTTTTTTTTTACTAGGATATATGTGTTACAGGTCAAAATTAAATTCAGGTTTAAAGCTTTTAACCTAGGTTGATTATCTATTTCCTTTGTCTCCTAGCCCTAATTATTCATAAATTGGGCTCTTCAATATTTATTGCTAATAATTATTTATTGCTACATTGTACAAGCACTCAGCAAAATAACTTGTTTTATTTTTCAATTCACATGCATTTGTTAATTTCCTGTTATTATGGCATACCTCATTGTAAGTGTCTCTGTCATTTTAGCATAGTACATTAACATAATATTATAGTTAGCTAGTACCTAACCATCAAATTTGTTGTTGTTGTTGAGAATTTCTCTTTTACAGATTTTACGACAGGATGAATGTAACAGTCTTTATCAGTTCTTCTTTCAAGTCATTCTCTTCACTTCTTGTCATCGGGTTAAAAAATCTATGTTGTACCTACATCATATTCTTCTTTGTTGATGTTGTTTTTATTAGTTGAATTTTGTTTTTTATCCAGTGGCAGAAAAGGAAACAAAACTTGGTCCAGCTTCTGCTCAAGAGGTATTTTCTTAGTAGTTACATGTACTTATGCCTCATAGTATTGTTTCATAAAAGTCAAGTGGAGTTACGAGCATTTTATCTCTGAGACTCTTCGATTCCTCTATATACAATTTGTAAGAGAGCAAAACATAATTATCTGTTGTAGCTATCCTATTATTCTAACATTACATATTAACTGACTGGTAATGTTATCAAATAATAAAGGCATGTGTTTATACAAAGAAAAATCAAGTCATGGGTAGGATATTTCATGGTATACCTCTTGTGTCTGTCAGTTTTTGCTTGCTGGCAACTATGGTTGGTGGCTAGAAATGTCTGCATTTTAGTGGCTTTATTAAAATAATGACTAATGGTCTTTTTACTCAACATTATCCCACTGGCTTTGAATTAACCAACTTTGACCATAAGAATTGATGTTGACACAAAACATCAATAATTATACATGTACTAGGGTTTGTATAGGTTATGGAAAACCTGGATCGTCATGAAATTGAAGAATTCATTTTCCTGGCCTGGAAAGTCATGGAAAATTTCAGTTCTGCTAGATAGATTAAATACTGCAGATGTCAAAGTATGGACAATGTAAGATAAAGGCGAGTAACTAAATGACATGGATTGTAGTGGACACTAGAGTTTGTGTCTGTTGAACTGAGTAAGGTCCACGGATACCTTAAAACAAGGAAAGTTTTGAAAATATTCGAAAGTGACTGCTGAACCTAAGGTCATGGAAACCTTGAAAAGTTCATGGAAAAAGTCATGAAAGTCATGGAATTTAATGAGCTCAAAAGAGTACGAACCCTGTAATAATGCAAGTGCATTGTGGAGGTACTAATTTTTTGTTCATTGTAGGTTGTTTTTGGTGTTGCCACTGAAGATGTACCAGCAACTCAGAAAATGGCAAATCAGACAGCCAACACACAAAGTGCAGTTAATGGTGAACAGCCTGTCTCTGCAGGTGCTGACTCAACTACGTCGTCTGTGGCTGACACATCTGCAGCAGTGTCTACTGTCGCCTCTGAGTCTCAATCGCGTCAGGAGCAACCTCAGGCAAAAGTGGGGCCTCCAAAACCAAGGTACAGTAATGTTTAAAAAAAGAAAAACTGATGGCTTTAATTAGTTAATTATTGCAGTAAATTTTGTAATCTGCACTTGTTTATTGCTGTTAATCAGCACTGTCACAAATTGTACAATAAAGCACTAAAAGCAACTGGGCACCAAATTTAGTGAGATAGAAAACTGGAAGAGTGTGACAATTAATTTTACTATAAAACTGAGATGACCGCTACTTAAGAGAAAGAACATTTACACATAAATGACATGTATAGCCAAATACATTTTAACAAGGCACTAGTGGACTAACTTGGACAAGAGTAAAACAGATAGAAATAGACTGTTTAGTTTTTGAAAACTGCTTAGTCAGAGCTGTTTTTCAGGTTGGATGCTTTGATATATAGCTCTGCAGAGTTGAAAGTTGTGAAAATTCAAAGTCATTTGTATAGTGTGGGGCAAGTTTGTGCTCTCATCATTCAATTGTCTGTAACATTTGAGAGTTAGAGGAGATTATATAATACAGCATGTATCTTGATAATTTTTTAACAAATCACTTTCAAATGTGGCAATTTAACTATTAATTAAAAATTCTTTCCCTTAGTGGTGACAGATATTTCCTAACTGGTCCTTGTCAAAAGCTGAAAGAAACCCTAGAAAGGTCCATTGCATGTGTAGTTATCCATTAACACCTTTTTAATGTGTTTTACTAGATATGACTGGTACCAAACAGAAACCCATGTTGTTATAACCATTATGATAAAAAACACAAAGCAAGAGAATGTCAAAGTGGAGTTTGGTGAAAAAACAGTAAGTTGAACCAGTATGATTATAAAGTAAGGTAATGAGAAGCCACCCCAATGGATTGGCACAATTAACAGATTAGAGCCAGAGATTTCTAATATCCACAATCACTGCTTAAAAATTAATGGTTCTGTAACCTGTCCTTTTCATCTTTTGAGCCAGCATCTCTGCGGTCAAAGTGTCAAGAATGAGGAAGTCTCAAGAGATGTTTCAGAGCCACCATGAATTTTCCGAAGGAAAAAAAAAACAATGTTTAATAATTGGCTCTGAACCCACTTTCAAAGTGGCAAAAAATGCTGTTGTCTTTTCCCATAATAATCAAATTAATGATAATTGACAAAAAATAATGATAATGATCTAATGTAAAGAAATGGTCATGCAGCCTTTTTATGAATTATTATTATTATAATTTATTATTATAATTATTATGAGGACAGAGGTCAGGGTGTTTAGGGTGTTTTAACATGTGCAAATGTTGCCACAGTTACATTAGAAAAATGACCAAACTTGTTTCCCCTTGGCTTTTAATCTCATTGATCCAAAATATTTTATAAGATGCTAGCTAGTACAATATCATGAAAAATTAATCATATCAAGAAGGCCCAAAACATATTTATTGCATCATCTTTACGACTGTAAAAATTATCTGTTTCGATTGCATTATTTGTGGCATAGATATAATTTTTTCTTTCTTTATTATTGTTATAATCCTGAGATTATGGAGTTGTGCTACAGAAGAATTTGTCTATTACTATCTATGATTACTTTGATTAAAATTGCATTTTAGTTGAGTGCAACAGTCAAGCTTCCATCTGGTAGTGATTTCAGTTTGGAATTGGATCTTGCTCATGCTATAGTTCCTGCACAGTGTAAAACAAAAATCATGACAACAAAGGTAAAAATGAAATAATGTCATTATGGAAAGAGTCATGATTATCAAATTTAATGTTGGCACTTGTTGATCAAAGCCTGATGGTGAGATTCCAAAAAACTATCTGAAGATCAGAACTGTACTTGCACTCACTCTTAGTGACATAATTTTTTGGCAGTTTACACTAAAGGAGTTGTAGCCACAACTCAACTTGTACTACTGTAGTACTGCTGAGGCTATAAATCTGCTGTATTATTGTTTACTTGAAAGTACCACTCCCTGATTGATTCATCAGTGCCCTCTCAGAAGCAAAAATTATTAAACAAGCTAACATTTGTTATTTTGCTGTTCCAGTTGTTTATAAACAAAACAATGGAATTTATTTATATATTATTATAAGATAAGTGCCTAATTCCACTTTGTAGAAGTGCTGCATTGAGAAGGAGAAAAAAATTGTTTCATTTTTGTTTTCTATACAATGTAGATACCACTAAACTTATTTTTGTTGAGATCAGGGTTACTGAACATGTCCTTTTGCAGGTTGAACTAAAGATGAAAAAAGCTGAGGGAATAAGATGGTCATCTCTTGAAGGAGAAGATGAAGTGAAAGCTAAGCCAATTCCTAAACAAGGTTAGTCTTGCAGATACAAAGCCTTCAAACTTGTACTCATTGTCACAGGTAAAGTGGCACAAACAGACAGGTATTAAAATGGTCAGCTATATTGTAAATTTGTGAAACGCACAAAAGTGTGAACACAAGAAATATTTTATGAAAATGCTATTTTACTGCGAGGAAATAGCCAGTAAGGCACAAGAAAACTAAACTGCAAATAGCAGCAGTGTGGTTTTGAGGTTTGCTTGCGAGTCCTGAACTTTATTGTGAGTGGTTGCTACACAATCAACATTCCCGAAAATTTTCAGTTCCCATCTAGCCTGGTCAAGAAGCCAATCAGAATGCAAGACTTGCTACATAATTATACATGTGCAACTTCCAGTCCACTCACAAAGCCATCAACATAATAGCCAAGCATTGCCCCATCTGTGACTTTCACATTACCCATGTTGCAATTTGTTTTCCCCACTAAATTCTGTAAAAGTTTTGTTTTGTTAGTCCTCAGAGAAATAAGAAACAAAGCTTATGCAGAATTTTTTGGGGAAAACAAATTGCATCATAAGGAAAGTAAAAGTCACAAATAGCTATTTTTTTGAAAAGAAAAATTGGGTTATCTGTCAGTCCAGTGATTTTGTTACCTCTGCATCCTGTGTCCTTGATGCATAAAAATCCCCAAAGACACAAGATTATTCATAGCAAGTGTCCTCTAGGATGCAAAGAATGATCAATCAATTTGAAGATTTTTTGGTAGAGTTCATGCGATTTCTGTGGCTGCTGTTTAAAGGTGCATAATTATTTATTTTAGTCTTTTTTGTGCTTTAAATAATTACATAGGACCATATTTTAATTTCAGTAAACTGTAATTAAGAGTTTTGGTGTCTGTCTCCAAACAGTCTGTCTGGTTATGTAAAGACCCAAGCGTGACACCTTGTTTTTTTGAACTGGGACTCATTGGTTTTGGACTGGGACTCATGATTTTTCACAAGATGAGTCCCAGGTCTCCTCATAACTATTTGTAACAAAATCAATGTCTATCGGAGATATTTTGATAGGAACATGACTGTACGTACATCAGTCCATCCACACCATTGGGAAATTAAAAGTCACACTTTCTAGCTAGTGTGGGATACTGGAATATGATATTGCCCATCCATGTTGTGGTCATTTGACATCTGTCAAAACAGGGTATCTACAAGCCAGTATCATGTGACCATATCAAATAATTAATAATAATAATAATAATAATAATAATGATAGCAAACTACATGATAAGAGACAAAAATCATGAACATCTTTTTCTTTTCACTTTAGAGAAATCTCAAAGTGACATTTCCACAGTGCATAAATACCCATCATCAAGACATGTTGGCAAAGACTGGGATAAACTTGCAGCACAGATAGCAAAGGATGAAAAAGAGGAAAAACTTGAAGGAGAAGCAGCTTTGAATCAATTATTTCAACAAATTTATGGTGATGGAAGTGAAGAAGTTCGTAGAGCCATGAACAAGTCATTTGTGGAATCTGGTGGAACAGTGCTGAGCACTAACTGGGATGAAGTTAAACGTGGGCATGTTGACTGTAAACCACCTGATGGCATGGAATGGAAAAAGTGGGACCACTAAAGGAAGTCAGGACTGTGAAGTGTGAATGGCTTGTGACCATGCTTTTCCTAGTTACAGTAGACGCATGCATTAACTGCATTCCAAGACTTCATCAAAAGAAAGTTAAACAGCAGTGGTGTAGAATGGTACTACAATCATGGCTTTTAACTTTCAAGTAAGCACAACAGGGCCATTTATACGAGGAAAAATAAGACGCGTCTTAAATAAGACGCGAACTGTACTATTTATATGAGCATGTCTTATCTAATAAGACGCGTGTTAGCTAAGCCGCGTCTTATTTTAGATGAAATGCGCCGTTTATACGGAAAGTTCGCGTCTTATTTAAGACGCGTCTTATGTAAGACGCGTCTTATCTTTCCTCGTATAAATGGCCCTAATGTTAAAAAAACAAAAACTTCCTAAATTTCATTTCATAAAATTAAAGTGCTTAGGAACCATCATGATATTATTTACAGTACCTAAACCTCTGAGAGAAGCCATGAAAAGTCAGTTCTGAAGGATGGTTTTTACCCCCACTCTACACCACTGGTAATGAATACTTGGAAAGCTCTTATGACGTTTTACTTAATTTAACTTTAGCAGTGCAATGATGAGCAGATTGAAGCTGATGTTTCCTGACTAATTTGCAGGTTTTGTTGCTTCCCACCTTACTTTACTTGCTATTTTACTGCAAAAAAAATGCTTATGCAAAAATGTCAGGTGGCTTTAGTTCTGCTGTAAAAGAAGTTTGACTTTTTAATAGCAGAATAACTATGTGTAGAGCCCAAAATTTGTGAATAAATTATTATTGAAATGTTCAGTCGCAGCCTGGCTCGATTCATTTCTACATAATTTCCAAAGTCAATGCAATACTTATTGAAATGGCCAAAAAAAACCCAACAACAACAACAAGAACAACAAATCTGTGAGTTAAGTGAGCTGAGCAGTAGGCTGGAGATGAAGAAAGGGTGGCTTTGCTTGCCAATTTTTTTGGGGGGGCCTTTTTCTCAACTGTGGAGCCTTGTCCCAAGCTATTTTTTTCTGGTTATAAGCCCCTCTGTTTATAAGCCCTCCTAAAGCCTCTTACAAAGATATATAAGCCCATGGCTTATAAGTGGCAGTTTATGGTAGTTGACTATTCTTCAGCCGAGTGATGATAATGATTATGATGATCCCAGATTCAAGAGAGAAAGTAGAATCATGTTGTCCTTTTACATGTAATTGATTGTTTTACTCTTTTCACAACAGATAGCATCATGCTCTGATAATGATGATAAAGGCCAATGTTCACAAAAAATTCCTTAGTTTGTTTTCCATTAGCAGACATTTTTATTGTAGAACTATGGTTTGTTTTCCATTAAATACTTTTTTGCTCAAAATCATGACTATGAGCTACAGGAAGGGCAGAGAATTGTTCTTCACCTAACCCTTGTTTCAGTCTTCCTGAGTTTACTGGTACTGGATTAAGGTATGAGAAACACGGAATAAACGCAACTTCCAGGGAAAAGTTTTCCGCATTGTCAGGCATGTCAATTTATATCATCTATTTTGTACAAAGGAACCTCTTTAACCTGTCCACGACTAGGCCTTGAAAACCCAGTCATGTTTACAAGGTTTTCAGAAAAGACAGCCTGCAGGTATGTTCCAAAGGACTCTTCTATGGCCTAGCTACACTGTACACCCCACAAGAGAACTTCTTTCCTAAGGCTAAGAGAAGAAAAAGACTGGGTTTTTAGGCCTGGGTCGTTTTCTTTTTGTTGTTATTTTGAGCCAAAAACCATGTAATTTGGTTGAAATGAAGTGAGTGTATTAATAAGGTGCTCAAGCAGCCACGTTTCACTGTATCATGGTGCAGTTCAACAGGTTGTCTTAACCCTTTAGTGTTGCATGAACTGTGTAGAAAAGGAAACTCCTCCTTTTGCCAAACATCAGATTGTACTGTTTTTCTTGCAATTTGTCAACCAATGCATAGCATGAAGATGTTGGTTACTTTCTTTCTTGCAGCATGAATCAACAGTATCAAGACATATGTCAGGATGATTGTTAAGCGTGTATATTGATGCTAGGTGATCATGATCATGTTCTCCTAAATTTGCCCAAACTTCATCCTATAAATCTGAAGCAGTCACTTGCTACTTTCCACACTTTTCCACCTTCAGCAGTCAATAAAAAGTTCTGGGAGAAATGTTCTGCTTTGTGGCCATCAAACTTGACCAATCCCTCGACAACAACTAGAACTGTAGTCTGGCCAGGAATGGCTTGGTCTGAATGATAATAAGAAAAAAAGGCTATTCTGGTGACTATCCCAAATTCTTATAGGAAAGCAGGGGTATTTTGCAGAATGGCGAGCGCGAATGACTCTGAAGTTCAGTGCTGAGTGAATCAAGTTTTAGGATGATTTCCCAGTATAGTGAACCTAAATGGAATCTGATTCACTCAGTTTCCTAACCTTAATCACCAAAATTCTATGTATAAAGATATACCATTTATTTGCCTCCATCACAATAACTGATGTTGCTTGCAAATAGGTAATAATTGGCCAGCGGTCAATATATAAATTAAATTAAAGGCAGTTTGTGAATGCCGTCAAAGAAGAGGTATTTACTGTCTCGTTTGGCAAAACGTTCCAATGAATTATTTTTCTGGGGAAGTAGGGGAATTTATAATAATCAGTGAAAGTGAATGGGACCTCAAAAGCTTGGTTGTTGACATGACAACTAACTCGGCCCAGTGGCTTCAGATATATCAATTGTAAACTAAAGCTTCACTCCTAAGGATTCTACTGAAAAAAAATGAGGGCATTACATGTGCTAAAAGACCTAGAACCACTTTTTTAAATTTTCTATACATTTGTCTGTAAGAAAGTCTCAGGCAAAACTACAGACAAATATATAAAAAATCTAAAGCAAGCCTCTGGAGAAATTTAAGCACAAGTTTACCCCCGGCATTTTATAGTGCAATCCTTTTCTTTGTAGGTTTAGTTTACAATTGATATTATTTTCATAACAGCCGTTTTACAGAAATTATTCCACATTAGATTCTCATACAAACACTGTAATTTCTCGTACGTTTGCCTACTCGTCAAATGGGCATCAACAACTGTGACAAGGTCTATTGCACCGGTTTAAGACATACAAAGTGGCACGTCTCTGTACCATTTCCAATTTCTTCACATTCTCTTTGGTATAGGGATCTTCGGGGTCATTAGGCATGGTATCCCGTTACTTTGTTCCATGGTCAGATCATCCCAAGCCAGATCGTTCACTTAATAGTCTGATTGTACCACAATGTAGTCAGACCTTTTCACAAGGGCGTTACCTCGTATTTTTAAGCCGAGACGCCAAAAAAGCGTGCTTCACATAATTTAGGTTATAACTTACATTCCTTGCATTGCATGCAGACGTTCTGTTAACTAAGGGTCGGTTCTATCATATGTTTCATATAGGTACTTAAAAACATAGTTTAAATACCTGACACAGGCTGGCAGTCCAAGGAATATAAAGTGTGCTCCGTAGCAGGAAGATTGTTAAAGAAATCTGTGATAACTTCTGGGCCTCCTTTTACTACATTCCCATTCCACACGATCGTCGTGTTGGCCGAATACAATTTTGACATTAGCTGTGTGTGAAAAAAACAATTCAAAACAGTTTTATATTAATTGGAAAAAAAAAAAGCAACAAGGGAAATATAAGCTTAAAGGAAGTTTACTTCTTTACCACGAATCAAATTAATTTAGCTACAGCGTTAACTCACATGACGTCTTTTATCGAATGTTTCATAGTAAACATTGCTAAATTCTTCGCCCGCTTGTGTAGCTTGATCGACTGCATTTCTCAGAGCCTAGTTAGTAATGCAAAGGAACAAGAACGTTATTAGACAGAAAGTTAATTTATCTTCGTAAAGGAAAACAAGATACATTCCACACAAAACGTACATCTCCTTTGGACGCCATTTTGTTCTCTTACGCCGCTGCAGGTAGGTACGTCATATACGATTCCTATAGTGTACCGATATATAGATTCTTGTACTGCACTCTTTCTGCCGCTGGATCAACAAACGACGGCTCGTTTGTAAGGGGCGGTTACCAACCTCGTCCCCAGGGTCTTCTCGTTATCCAATATGGCGGCGGCGGGAGAGAAAGTATGTGTGCAACGTGATCAAAACAAACAAAGTTGAACGGTGCTAAGTGTTGCTGTCGCTGATCTGTTTTGCATTGCCCTATTATTTGCAAGCTCTTGTTAACCCGTCACAATGTGGAAAAAGATTGTAATCGGGCTTTATCTTGCTACACAAATAGTGTTTACCCTTCAAGACACCTGCCTAAGATTTGAATATGGACGGGATTATGGAGGGAGTTCGTTGAGTTCAAAATCTGGAATTTTTACGGAAAAAAGTCAAGGTTGTGGATGTTCGGCGTTAAAGCGAAATGGCCCCCTAAGAGGAGAAGCAATTTCTCTAAATAAGGACAACAAAGATGATGGAATGGAGTTTAAACCTGCTTATAAACGCACGAACCAAATGGTTTTTATCAAGGGTGGGAAATTTACGATGGGCACCGACAAGCCCTTCCTACCCATGGATGGCGAGGGGCCAGCTAGAGAAGTGACAGTGGATTCCTTTTATATGGATATTTATGAAGTCAGCAATGCAGAGTTTGAACTTTTTGTTAATAACACTGGCTATGTAACAGAGGTAATAAGTTAGTAAACTGTTAGTGCTGTGAAATGAAGCAGCGATCCGAAAAGTGATTAATTTTAGCAGTAGTCATTGCTGGGCCCCCTCTCCCGTAAAGATGTTTTTTTTTAAAATTTTTTTGTTGCGCTGGCAAGGCTGTGCTCTAAGGAAAATTTCAGGGAGCCCTTCGGGCTCCCAAGCATTCTATTTAAGTCGCCCAGACCTCAAGTTGGTCGCCCGAATAAAAATTTCCGGGGCCCCTTCGGGCTCCAAAGCATACCAGCTGGGGTGCCCAGGCCTCTCAAGTTGGTCGCCCGAGTACATCTGATGAGGAAGTATTTTTTGAACACACGCGAATCTTACTCGTCTGCTGATCACCAAACTCGGTAATTTTAGCTTTTGGGTTCCACAAAAACCCGCTTGTTGTCTTATGAAACCCATCAAAGTTTTCGTGCCATTCAGATTTAAAACCAGAAACGTGAGCAATGCTGCGGAATTGTTTAGGTTTTAAAGAGAGAAAAGTAAAAAAATTCAGCAGGTTTACGTAAACTTCATTAAGATCTTTGGGTCAAACATAGGAAAACTGTGCTTTTTACCTGTAATACTAAACTTGAAAATAAATTTTCAAAAGGTGAATCAGTGCGGCATGAAATATAATGTGACAGAGTTTTATACGCGGTTGATCGAACTCAAGTTCCCGTGAAAAATACCGTGAAACAGTGAAACCGCCGCGGCCCCAAACCTATCGTTTTAATAAAAAATAAGTCATATTTAATTTTCTTTTCTATATTATCACTGAATCTTTTAGGATAATTGAGCTTTTCGTGGATACGGTCGAAGCGTAAACCAGCTCTTCTTTCCGTGTTTTTATTTCATTTTTTTGGCCGCTAAATTTATCCTGTATGCGAATTTAGTTTTCGATACGTAAAATGCCAAGACAACGTGGAACTGCCCTGTTTCTAAAATAACAATAAAAACAATCAGAACAATCATATCTTTTCTTTTTATATTTCGTTATCTTATGTAAAGGGAAGAAAACAATCATAAGTTATGTTTTAGCCAAGCAGACACACGGCAGCCAAAAACCGTAAAAACATTATACTTGCATACTGGTCAATACAGCAACTTCCGTTTTATACAAAAATAAATTACTCCGCGTCGCCTGCCGCGCTTTACGTCTGTCAGAAAAGTATTGACAGTTTCTCCTAAAAACTGCACTTAATGAACCATTCTGTCTGAAAGAAAAAATTTTGAAACTATTTTAAGCAGCGGTACAAATCGAAATCCTTGCCGCTTGTCACGTTTAAAGTGATGGATTATGTTACGTGTGAAATCATGCAGAACGACCTTTGAACATCGACGTGCGCCCGTTTCTTTCCTACAACATTCGTAAAAACATTTTCTGTAGGGTTTATCTAAACTCTGACTCAACAAGCCAACACCAGTACGTTAAATTTTTCTTCCTGATTAACTGAACACTGCATCAGAAGCAAGAGTGCCCGGCCGGGCGACCGGGAACTTTTTTTCAGTCGCCCGAAGCTAAATGTTAGGCGCCTCAGGCGATCGGGCGCCGTTAGAGCACAGCCTTGGCTGGCGTGTGAGTATCAAACACCATTTTAATAGAGTGTTTTATCCTCCCTGTTTTTTTTTGGTGGGGGAACTCCCTTAAAATTTTGCCTGTGAAAGGCAAAACGGACATAAACGGAAAATTTTTGGTCCTTCGGACCTCAGTTTGGTCCAAAAATAAGGGAAGGGGGGGGAGGGCGGTCCCCCCGGGCCCCTACCACGGGATCCGCCACTTAGTAACACTCCTCTGTCAGTGATAAAGTGTGATTTTATACCCTATTCTAGTAAGTCAGAGAGGCAAAAATCATATCCTGTTGAGTGCCAGGGACATACCCATATAGCCCATCTATGAGAGTGGTTACGATCTTCAACTTATTTTCTAGTAACATTGTTTTACTGTTTGAGGAAATTTTATTTGCATTGTAAGAGTGAAATCCTTTCAGTTCCTTTGTTTAAATTCATAATTTATTGGTTGATGGATCACTTTGAATGGCTTTTCATAATATTATTATGATTTTAACTTCCATGTTTCAATGTAGGCTGAAAAGTTTGGGGATTCCTTTGTTCTAGAAGGAAAAATCAGTGAAGAGATCAAGAAGGACATACACCAAGCAGTGAGTTGAATTTCTTCTGATGGAAGTGTTTACTTCCTAGCTAGTGGGGATAACCAATAAGATGGACTTTTCTTATTTTCTATTACCAGGTTGCTGCAGCACCATGGTGGCTTCCAGTCAAAGGAGCTTACTGGAGAAATCCAGAAGGACCTGATTCTGTCATCAAGGACAGGTAAAAATTACACTTGGCACTTGAACTTAATACAGTATTGGCAGTGTGCATGTACATGTATAGTCACTGTGACAGAGCTACATTTAGTTATGTACAGGGCAATGGGAGACCTCTCCAGCTAGTAAAGATACCAAACTTTGCACAATCTACACCTAATTTTTTTTCTGCAAAAAATAATGACATAGGGATGTTAGCCATGTGGCCTGCTTTTGACGGCAGTAACATAGCAAATCCAGTATGCAGTGTACATCCCCAGCATCACTGTCACTGTCACTGTCACATGACCTTTTCTAGACTTACAGTTGTAAGACTTCATGTGAAAACTGTGTAACAGTCGTGGGCATGTACTATTAATTCTGCAGTCTCTACCAGGGTTTCTTGTTCATGTCAATAGTCTAAACAAATTTAGCAATAAGACAACATGACAAAAATGCAATTGGTTTGGGCAGAACTACAAAACCACTTATTTAACCAATAGGACAACAGCAAATACACCAGATGTCACAATTATTTGGTATCTTCAATAGGTTTTCACATTCCCACTTGACATTGTTGTCATTGCTAAATCTGCCTACTATTTTTAACTGCGATGTAAAACTTGCAAAATTATTTAATAATTATGTTTTTGCCATGCACACTTAATTATCTTGATCTAATACACAAGCCAATGTGATTAACATACTATGTTGTTGATAAATTAATTTTAGAATGGACCACCCAGTACTTCATGTCTCATGGAATGATGCTGTTGCATTTTGTAAGTGGGCTGGTAAAAGACTCCCAACTGAAGCTGAGTGGGAATATGCCTGCAAAGCAGGACTCAAAAACAAGTAAGAGAGAGTAACAGACTGGTTGAATAATAATATTATAACTAACATATAAAAGCATAATTATCAAACTTCTTCATTGTGTTTTTACCGTATGCTTTTTATACTTTTAATATTCCTTATCAAAACACCTCATATACTCCACTTTCTTGCTACTGCCTTTTGATCCATAGTTCTGCACACATGCAAAGCTTTTCAGCAGTTTTTTTAGCATTGATTTTAATTAATTTTTACGAAAAAATAATAGAGATTTTGAATGAATTACAAATGTGTACCTACTTAAATATAATGGAAACTATAAAAAGGTTTGGTAATAACAAGGACTTACTTCTTAATTATCCCTTTTTGTGTTCCTTTTTTGGTAGGAGCTTTGCCAAGGTGCACCTCTATTTAAAATAATTATTGATATCTTAGATTGACTATAATTTCAGTTTACTAGGAAAGAGAAACATAGAGATATTTGAATGAATTCAATGGATTGTCTGTAATCTTATATGTTGGATTACACTGTACTTTGATGACTCTTATAATAATGTATTTGTTAAGGACTTTCCTTTTTGTATTCTCATTTTAACTGCCTTGAGGTAACCTTTAAAATAAATAATTTGATGTATTGAATAATTAAGCTGGTTTGAAATAATTTATGATTAACTCTAGTTGGTAATGTGTGGCCAGCAAAACACTCACCCACAGTAAGCCGTAAACTGCTCAAAGGAATTAAAGGAAAAAAGCATATAATATCTAAACTAGTGCATGTAAATGTATTGATTTGTTTTCAACATCTCTTAAATGTTTTTATTACCTCAGAAAATACTCTTGGGGTAACAAGTTCAAGAAAGATGGTCACCACATGGCAAACACATGGCAAGGAAAATTCCCAGTTTATGATACGGGAGAGGATGGGTATGCTGGTACAAGTCCTGTCACAGCATTCCCATCAAATAACTATGGCCTATATAACATTCTGGGGAATGTGTGGGAGTGGACTCAAGATTGGTGGACCATACGACACTCTTCTCACTTCCAGGAAAATCCAGTAAGTTTAAACTGATCCACGCGACTCAATGGATAGATTTCATATATCCAGCAATTGCAGGTAGTAATGCAGTATAGCACAGGGTTAGTTAGCAATGATAATATTTTACTTGGATCATTGGGTTCTGTCTGTCGTGTTCTTTCTTAAGTGAGCTACTTGCTCATCATATTGAAGTTTAAGATGATTGTTGGTTCATACAATTCATATATTTATAATTATGTATTTAAATCACAGCCCAAAGTAGCATATTTGTAACAATATTACTTATACCTGTTTATGACCCGCCAGTAATATATTTAGAACAAGTTATGCGCAGAAAAAAAAAACCATTGACAGCTTGCACAAATATCTATATCGCCTTTTTTTAGGAAACATTAATTTTGCGACGAGAATGACCAAGAATAAGAGTGCTAAGCGACTGGGAAGAAGTTGAAAATTAAAAAAAAAATTAAGAGAAATGTCAAGCTGTGGTTAACGATTGCTTTATTCAGCCCTATTAAAAAGAGGCTCGGTTGTCTCATTTTCATTTTCATTAACAATCCAGGAATCGATAAGAAGCGGAAAAAACTATCGAGAGCTTTGTTTTTGTTCGCTTGTTTGTTTGTTTTTGTATCATCGCACATACAAGTTTTGTCTGTAATAAAAAAGGGATTAATGAAGATGTTTCCAAGGGCTGTTTAACTCAGCATAGAAGCGGTAAAACAAAGTCATTACCACATGCATTATTTAACAGACTTTTGTTGTATAGAAAGGGCCTTTTTCCGGAAAGGATAAAGTGAAGAAAGGTGGATCTTACATGTGTCATAAAGTAAGTTAATCTTCAATTTCTAATATTAAGCTAATCACCGAAATAAATTATAATATTGCGGACTGCATGGAGATTCCAAAAACGATAATTTTTATCCTGTAGAAAGTCCTGCTACTATATATTTCATTGAGTAAAAAGTCTTGTATTAGGATTAAAGTAGAAAATATATATGTACAATACATGTATTGCCGTCCAAGCCAATTCTTCTTTGCACCTCGCCCCCTTCCTCGAAGTTAAATGCTCGGCCCCTTTTGTGATGTTCTTAATTCTTTGCGGCTGATACCTTGTTTTGCTAAACTGCAAAAAGAGAAACTATAGAAAGCTTGAGAGAATTAAGGCTCGCTCCTCAAACTACGGGCTTTTACATCAAGTCGAGTCAAACAAAAAAGATGACGGTCTTAAGTTGAAGATGGCTCGAAGGTGGAAAAGATTTAAGATCGTTATTCAGAGATATCGAAGAATAATACACAGGGGCATCCAACGGGTGTTTTCTGTAAATGATCTAGCCTGCGTAGCAAGCTCCCTCTCCCCTCGCGTGTCTCTCTCTCTCGCGCCCTTCTTGCGCCCACTACTTCCAAGCGACTGCTACGGAGGCTATGAATTATGTGTTCGGAGAAGCAAATATTGCGTATAATTTTCTACTGCTTAAGTACGGCTAGAAATTTCTCATGACCGTTCCATTCAGGTACAATTTTCGAAGCTTATTATGTAATAAATGCCCTACGATTTTCTGAAGTTTAATTTCTGACATTTTACTCCCTATGTTAGGCTAATTTTCGTAGGAAAAGGAAACCCAAACTTTTCGGATTCAAAACTGTGACAGAGAGAGGAACAAGAACAATCCTCACTTTTGTAAAACGTTCAATTGCATCTAAAATTTTCGGTAAAATGATACTGAAGCCCATTTTAAGTTTTAAGAATTTTAAGTTCTCCTAGGATGACTGAACAGTTACAAATGTTATGGCGCCGCTAAGAATGTGTTTCTAGATATTTAAATTACTCTGGATAGCCTAGAAAGAGTTTTCAATGAATTTAGGAGGAAACCATCGTTGGGTGCCCCTGAATACATTTGATTCGGAGCAAGGTGTTTAGCAATTAAAAGTGTTACATACATGAGTACTTTTAAAAGAATAGAACGACTGGCAATCGGCTTTTTTTCTTAGAATTATGGCAAAAATTGGAAAAACTTGTCCCGAAAAAATCGAGTTCGCGATCGTGGCTCGTTTGTCTCGTACGTTTTGACAATTCCAAAACAATCTCAAGGCTGAATTCAACATCACTTCCTATTATTTTGTGGACTTCAGCTCGAACGTTTTTTTTTAACTGTTTTAATTTTTTATCGTTTTTCTTTCTTGTTTCAGTCTTACTGCTATAGATACCGTTGTGCAGCGAGAAGCCAGAATTCTGCCGACACCACTGCCTCAAATCTTGGATTTCGCTGTGTTAGCGACAAGCTCCCTAGTGAAGTCAGATTAGTCACATAGGCGTAGAGATGTTTGAAATTTCTATTTTACCTATTAAATAATTTCAATTCTGTTAAAATACAAAATTATGCATCATAAGCTTATTTCCGACGGTTTCTTTTTTCTTTTTGCGTTAACCATTGTACTACTAGCCTAACAGTGGCTTAAATTAACAAAAACGTCTTCTTGATATTAAATTGTTGTTCAGGCCCCGGTTGTTCAAACGTTGGATAGCGCTGTCCACCGGAAAAAATTACTATCCAGCCGTTATAAGTATTGCGGAAAATACGTTTAATTACACTATCTACTGGATAGTGATTTATCCGGTGGATAGCGCTATCCATCTTTTGAACAACCGGGGCCAGGACCATAACAAAGTTCAGAAAGAGAAAGGAAATACTTTATCATTATAATTGCGTGCTAACGTCCTCTTTAGAGAACGTCCATAAGAAAATTTCACGTCGTAATCGCAGAATGGCGGTAAAGAAAGATACCACATTGCCATAGGTTTATGTGGGTGTTCCACCTCCAATGATGAATTTTACCGCATGCAGGGGTCTAGGGTCCACCTACTTAAAACCTTTCTGAAAAACCTGTTAACATGGGTGGTAAAACGCGCAATATAGTTCTTCAACTCGTTTTGCAGCAAATTGAACGTTTCTGTTGCCCGTTTTACCATTTCCTTTAGTCAGTACTTCATACAATGATGAGCAAGGCATGATTATTAGTTTCGGGTGCTTCTTATAAACTTGCAACTATTGCTGCTGCCCCAGTCTAGTTGCCAAGGTTGAATTGGAAATCGAAGCCTTAAATTTATTTACAAATAATCATTACAGACTCAACAACTTTATGTTTGTTGGAAAATAGGTTATAGACAATTTTATTCAATTTTATTACGAACACAGAGAACACAGAGAAATCGAAACAAAGAAGTACAGCAACAACTAACTTAATAGGACATAAGTAATTAATTAAATGGATAAATAAATGAATAAATAATTAATTACACTGCAGATATGTGAGCAGAACAGATAACTATATGTTCTGCTACTGGTCAAAGTAGCCCGCCTCAGTGGCTTCTGAATTGAATAAAGTAGTTATCTACAAATAAACTTTAAAATTAATTACATTTTGTCCGAGATGTGACAGAATTACAAAATGATTTAGGATAATATATAATTTAACATTTGTTTTGTTTGAAGGCTTCTTGAGGGCACTGGCAATATAACGGTGTCTCGTCAAGGTGATAACGCGCTGGTTCACCAGTTATCTTTGCTGTAAGAAAGAGAAATTTTCATTAATAGATAGTTTTAGTGTTGATGATGAATACGATTTCCTCATTTGACTCATTCTACCGTTCGTCAAGATTTCAAGACTTATACTTATTTGAAATGTTTACTTCAATGACAGACGTTCAGTGGTCACATGAAAACCGGGTTAGTTTGTTAAAGTAGAAGTGGTATTGTTGATAACAATAAAGGAATTATTCAATGCAGTTTAGTACTGTGTGCTTTTTTACTGTGTATACAACGTCTAATGTGATTGCGCGTTGCGGTGCACTGACCCTCCTGTAAGCGTGACCTCATATCTCCATATTGCTGGACTGGCGAGGATTCATCCTCGTCGGCGGCAAGCTCTAGTTAAAGAGTCTGGCACACGTGGCTGTGACTGTAGGCTACCTTTTTCGTTACAAGTTAAGTTAAACGACAAACCTAATCGTCATCATCGGGCAGGCCGCTTGATTTCCATTGTCTTCATATATCTACGTTATAACCTGCAAGATTCTTCATACCCCCGTTCGTTACGCTGTTTAAACAGGTAAACACAAACGTGAGTGGCAGTTAGTGCTATGATCCATTCTTTTATTCCCCTATTTTACGTAACTTGGACTTTAAATTACTCTTAGGGAAGTTTGCTAGGAAAGCCTGGGAGTATGTTTTTATCCATGAACGGTTGCTACAGCTTTATCTCTTGAAAGCTGTGAGTTTTTTTAATACACATCACATTATTCCTCTCATGTAATATGGTACAGTGACCCTACTCACTGGGGAGAGTTGTGTGAAGTATGAATGAATAGAGCATCAGTTTAGAATAGAACATACAAAGGGGTTGGTGACTCGAGCTACATCATCATGCATCATGACCAAAACTTTTCGTATATCCCCGGCAATCTAAAGACGAATACACTGATCCACAGTGACTAGCCAGGGCTTTTACGCTGAACAGCTTAACTGGTAGCGTGCAAAGCAGGCGTGTATTTTGTAGTGCGAACGATTTGGACATTGAGACTAACAGAGAGTTTGGGCGAGTCGAAAAACTGATTTCACGGGAGAGATTGACGGGTCAGAATAGAGGAAGGGAGGGGGAGGAGAGGCCCATTGTCCTCCCCTCTTCAACTGTTTCATTGCAGCCAGTTCATGATGGTGGCCGCGATCAATATGTAGCTCTGGGTCGCACTTTCGTTAAAAAATAAATAAATAAATAAAAACACCTGGCTAGATTTCAAAAATAACATTGCAGTTATGAAAACCGAAATAACAAATATATTTTAACAGTACTACAAGCTTTTGCATGATGGTGTACCGGTGGTATAGGTGCCGATTATTATAACAGACTGAACCTAGTACTGACTGAAAAGACACAGTGTATATGTATGAATTAGTTCAAATAAAGGGATATGGATCAGGTCAATTTGAGGGTGTGATGGTACACTGTCTTCAATCCATCCCAGACTTTCAACTTCCTACAACTTACTTGTTATTGCTTTCAAGGGGAACATCACTATCTGAAATTATAAAAAGTGTAATTAGAACAAAATTTAATTTTTCCCATACTATGTTAAGGTTACCGAATAAACTAATATTGAAACTCACCTTCATGATGATATCTAACCTTCCGTTGTACATTACATCATTTAATGAGCGCATTGCTATTGAAATTTTTTGAGGAAAAATTCATTAGGTTATTTCCGAGTTGCGCCAAGCCTAGCTGTTTCAAAGCGAGGCTAAGAGGGAAGCTATTGTTTTTATTGTCATACACTGATAATAAAATTCATTTTCACAAGAAAGATTTAGCACTTAGCCTCATTTTCAGAGTGAAAGATTGGAAGTCGGAAATGGCCAAAGAGACACTATTACTTAAGAGTCACCAGAATACTATATGATTAAACACCAAAGATGATCCATGACTATATTAAGTAATTGTGATATGAGAGTAATTATAGAAACTTTGATAATGTCCCTTCCATGCGTCTTGACGCTTTTATAACGATTCGTGTTTCAGTAAATCAAATGCTAAAAATAAAAACGTCAGGAGTAAGCTGAAAAAGAAAGCTTGTTTAACTTTTTAATTTTCAGAAGTCGATATAGTGTATAAAATGACTTCCCTGCCAGCCCCATCCACCCGGCCCTCTCTTGTGTAACGTGGCGGGGGGAGGGTAACTCCCGAAAAAAAAAAACTGATTTAAGAATATTATTGTAATTTATCAAAATCACGTTCAGAATGCCGACTAACCTCCGCTTCTTCTCTTGTGTAATACATAGGAGATCAAAGCCAGTACAACAGCTAAAAAGACCACAAAGCTTAGCACGCATACAGCGAAGAAAACAGGTTTAACTGGAAGTAAGAAAAAACACATAACAATCACAGACATCAATCAACGCGTAGCATTCTCAAACGGCCTGTCGACGGATTAGTGGAAGCTGTTAACGGCGGCTAGAGAGTCACATTATTAAATCATTAAAATATATTATTTTCCAATCGTTCACCTCAAATAATCTACTTATTGTTAAAACATCCATGCATCGTCTTTTGGTTCAAATTATCACTAGCACTAATTAAATAATTATTTGTTGTTGCTTTATTTTATTTTGTTGGCATTTTTTTCTAATAATCGGCTCCTGTCTTGCAATAATCCTTGGCTTGTCAAAATTGGCGTATCTTGAGAAGGGAAAAATGTTTGAAAGACCATGCCCTTAAAGCCTGGTTTTCACTAGCGCTTAAGCATAAGCATAAGCACAAGCACATGTGTAAGCGAGTGAAAACTGGGTCGACATAAGCATAAGCACAAGAAAAACGGACAAGTTTGTTCTTCTTGTGCTTGCGCTTATGCTTATGTCGTAGCTTTGACTAGTGAAAACTGGGTCGACATAAGCACAAGCAAAAGCACAAGGCCGTGGACCAATCATACGTCACTTTGACCCAGACCATGCGAACTTATGAAAAGCAATAAGCGTCCGCCATCTTATTTATCATTGGGTTGAGGAGGGCTGGCATCGAAAATTGAGTCAAATATGCCATTCTGCGCGTGCGTTTGTCCTTATGCATATGGTTATGATTAATGGTTATGAATTAATGGTTATGAACGCATGCTCTGTATCGCTGTTCGAACAACACAAGTCGTACATATATACAGCTTCATTTACTGAACAGTTTCCAAAGTTGCATTCGGAAAGCAATAGAAATTCCAGCTACTGTATATCCACCTTTTGGATGAAATCACTGAAGACTAAAAAACCTGAATTATAAGTACCTTTTTCGCAGTCATTTCCCTCGAAAAAGGCATTACATCCGCCGTCTTTAAGTGCTAAAGACAAAGGAAGGAATAAGTATATTTTAAAAATGCACATAAGGGTTTTTCCAAAGCCACCTCGGATAAAGTGGTTGAAGTTCATAGCCAGACCACAATCTTGAAGTAATGGCCGGACTAGAAGGTCTGCTCTTTGACTGAAACCGGGAAGCATTTAGTTAAGCAGGGCCTCAGTCCAAAGGGACCCATATTTGGTCTCTGAGCCTAACGGCCGGGAAAGGCCCCCGTCCCAAAATCCGCGACTGAACTTAATGGGGCTGTGATTAAGTGCTGCATGGTTAGTTTATTTTTTTTTATAATGTTAATTACACGTCCTTAGAGCAAAGTTCGTATGACCTTGAAAACGATGGTTTCGGTAAGTGTTCGTTACTTGTTTTATCAACCAATGGATGAAAACATCAAAACACATTGAACTCTTCGTTTTCCCGCCAAAGAAAACGCTAATTTTTGAGAAGGTATTGTTCGATTGGCCAATCGTGTTGCAGTATGACGTCAAAGCGAAGTATCGATTGATTTCTAAAAAGTTCTCTGGCATGAAGTTTTTTCACCCTAGCGTTTGCTTAACCAACCAACGTGACCACGCGAGTTTGTCAGATCCGTTCGATAAACCAATCAAATCGCACTATTTCCGTTCGCTTGTTGTTTCTGTTTTGTTCGCGCGTTGTCATTTCAAGACCATTAGAAAGTCGTTCTATTTGCTATGGAACTTCAGACTGAATTAGTTGTGAATGACAAAATCACAGCTTTGAATTCGTGTCAGAAAAATGTGTTTTATTTCAAACGTCACAAACAACCGCAAAAAAGCTTTGAAAAACTGTTTAAAAAATTGTTCATCTGTGCCTCCTTTTCTACTTCCTGTGTTATTTTTAACTTTATTTTACCGTTTTGAGAGGTTATTTTCATGTTTTAATCAGTTTTTTGGTAGTTCCCAAGGTTTGAATTTTCGTGACACAGCTCATTTAGATAAACCATGTGTAAGTTATAGCATCCAACAACGACGGGCCGGGACAGGTCTGGCTGGTAAAACGCTCACTGTTGCTCCCATTAAGATATATTCCAAAAAAATCCAACATACATCTCATCTCTTTCTTTCTTCCAGATGAAGTTAAGTTAAAGGTTTGTTTTGATGCAGTAGGGGACGATCTTTATCAGGTACGAATGCATAAGTGCGTACTTGCCGACCCAAGGCACTGTGACCTCACCCTTGAAAAAAATAATTCTTAAACATACCAACTGCGCAGTGACTTCCTTTGAGGCCAGAAACACAACTGCAAACATATCCATTCACACGGTCAATACATTTCCCACCATTTTCGCAAGGTTTATCAGTGCAGTCGTCAATATCTTAAAAACATAAGATGTGAAAACGGATTTGCAGTATTCTAATAATCTCATAATTTATATAAAATCATCGAAAAGACAACTCTTGAGTATTATTACGTTCACTAAGTGCTTCAGAAGAAAAACTTATCAGCTGATTGTTATAATTGAATTGTGCCAGGAACTGGCGTAGAACTTGCTTACCAATACTGCAATTCTTCCCCGTGAATCCAGGTACGCAGCTGCAGTTAAAATCATTCACAACATCTGTGCAGCTTCCTCCATTTTCGCACGGTCCACCAGCACATTCGTCGATATCTTAAGACAGGAAGGAAAATAATAGTGATTATATATATTTTCTAGAAAAATGCTCGACTGAAAAATATAACTAACACGATGTTTGTCTAAAGGGTTTTAATGGTTGAATGTTTAAAACGAAACCCTCTTTCCTCCTGTCAGTCGCTCGTTGGTATAACAGAAATGTAGTGAGATGGCTCATGACTGCGACTGCGAAGCGCCTTCGCGAAAACGATTTATAATCTTGTCACGCGCAAAGCGCCCGCGGGTCATAGCGAGCTGCAAACTCACAGCGCCCATGTTTGTAAATTTCCGATGGTGTCCTTCATGACTTCATACAGTAATTTTTACGTCACGGCGCATTATTTGTTTTTAGGCAGCATGACCAGGGCGCACTTCATGTTGAATTCATGAAGGGCAAGAGAAGTGCTGATGTGTTTATTCATCGTCTGTGAAACAATGTTTACGATCGGTGAATCACGAGCAATTTCCCATGCAAATGACACAGAACAGCAAGCTCAACAAGTGGCTGGAAATCCTCGCCGGCGACGATTATCCACCAAAACTACTTTGGAGAACGCCAACTAAAATTCATCGGGAGCGGAGAACACGACGACAACATTGTTAAGCTCTTATACTATATCTGGTCGGCACCCTATTGCAGTCTTTTATAATATTGTTTGATTTTTCGTTATGTATGTTAAGAAACTCTTACTGATAGCATTCAGTAAAACCATGAAGACGGCGATTGGCTTACCAATACTACAGTTCTTGCCCTTATATCCAGGGACACAGCTACAGTTATAATCATTCACAGCATCTGTGCAACTTCCTCCATTGTTGCATGGTCCATCAGCACATTCGTCGATATCTTAAGCGGAATGTAAAATACATAATATACTTTGAAATTGGATTAAGATTCAGGATGCCACTTGATACGGGTTGGGACACTAAACTGCTCCATAACCATTTTTTTTTTTTGACTCATGTTCACAGGCTTGTTATAACGCCGGCGCGAAAATCAAGACTTCACATGAGAAGCGTAAAGATTTGTAGCATAACAAGGACACATCCAGTCCTCGATCGCTTCAATTCAAAGGCCGGGATACTGAGCACAGTCAATAAAGCTATGGCTTCTTAAACAAAAAACACTAAAGTTAAGACCGTAAGTTGAGAGTGATCATGAATGTTGTTGCAACTGATAACACAGGGCTTTTTCCTTTAGAAAGAGCCTCTCTTGGCTTTACCTTTAAACGCTTGCTCAAATTGTATCTCTAAAAAGCAATGTAAACTGACGACAATGGATAGTCAACATATGAATATAATAGATCTAAGGTGACTATTCTATAACATGGAGAATTGGCTTACCAGTACTGCAATTCTTTCCCATGTATCCAGGAACACAGCTACAATTAAAATCATTCACAGCATCTGTGCAACTTCCTCCATTTTCGCATGGCCCATCAGCACAATCGTCGATATCTCGAAGGAAATTTAAAATTGGGAAAATATATATTTTGTAATATTTTAAGAAATAGCTCTAATACTAAGTTTTATTATCCATCCATAAAAGACTGTAGTCGCTTTGGTTTCCCTCTCCGGTTGCATTGACTTCTTCCGAATACCCCATATAATCACATTCGGTTCGGCCGCTAAAATGATTTTCAAATTAATGCTTTAAGGAATGCGTCCTCCCAGGCTACTCCGTTTCAATAAATCTATCGACTGAATCTTAAAAAACCAGCTAGCGTTGAACAAATTTAGAAGGCTTTTGCGAGATCAGTCTGATAAATGTCGTCATCATAGTTAGGATAATTCCCAGCATTCTGGCCTAGATCTGCATTTTGCTGCATTTTACTGTATACATATAATTTATGTACTTTATTTTTGCATACATCCTTTGGCCATCTTCGCCCTCAAATAGCAAGTTAAGAGCTAGACGAGGCGAGCAGAGTGGAAAGGTTATAGCAGTCGTAAATATTAAATTAAAAGACGCTTTGAAGATTGTATTAAAGAACTAAATAAATTATGCGGACGGATCATGGGAGTATTCCAAAAAAAACAAACAAACAAAGAAAAACAAGCTTGAGTAACAAAAATAGTCTTGCAGGAAGTCGTGGCTGCAGATTTTGCAATTTTTTGTAGCAGATGGGCACTTCAACATAATCATCCTCTGTTTCCATTATCGAGAGCAATAAGTCATGAAAAGTTTTTTAAAAGCTCATGTAGTGATTAAATCAGTAATTAATTGCTGTAAATAGCATGATTCTTTAATTACATAAAGAATTGGCTTACCAATACTGCAATTCTTTCCCGTGTATCCAGGAACACAGCTACAATTAAAATCATTAACAGCATCTGTGCAACTTCCTCTATTTTCGCATGGTCCATCAGCACAATCGTCGATATCTTGAAGGAAATTTAAAATTCGGAAAATATTTTGACATATATTACGAAATAGTTTTAATAATAATTTTTATTATCCATCCCTAAAAGACTGTAATATAATCGCTTTTTTTGCCCTTTCTGGTTGCATTAGTTTCTTCCGAATCGCCCATATAATCACATTCGGTTCGGCCTCTAAAATGATTTTCAAATTAATGCTCTAAAGAATGCGTACTCCAAGGCTACTCCGTTTCAATTAAATAATCCACCGACTGATTCTTAAATAACCAGCTATCGTTGACCAAATTTAGAAGGCTTTTGCGAGATCAGTCTGATAAAATGTCGTCATCATAGTTAGGATAATTCCCCGCCTGCTGAGTTCGATATGCATTTCGATGCATTTTATACTCATGCAGTTATTAAGTCAGTAATTAATTGCCATGTAAATAAAATGATTCTATTTCATGGAGAACGTCGCTTACCAATACTGCAATTCTTCCCCGTGTATCCAGGAACACAGCTACAATTAAAATCATTTACAGCATCTGTGCAACTTCCTCCATTTTCGCATGGTCCACCAGCACATTCGTCGATATCTTAAGTAAAATTTAAAATACATAAAATATAATATACTCTGAAATCGTATAAAGATTCAGGATGCGACTTGATACGGGTTAGGTCACTAAACTGCTCCATAACCTTTTTTTTTTCACTCGTGTTCACAGGCTTGTTATAACACCAGCGAGAAAATCACGACTTCACGTGAAAAGTGGAAAGATTTGTTGCATAACAAGGACACATCCAATCCTCTATCGCTTTGATTCAAAGGCCGGGATACTGAGCACAGCCAATAAAGCTGTGGCTTCTTAAACAAAAAACACCAAAGTTAAGAAACGTAAGTTGAGAGTGAATGTTGTTGCAACTGATAACACACGGCTTTTTTTTTAGCAACAGCCTCTCTTGGCTTTAGCTTCAAACGTTTGTTCAGATTTTATTTCTAAAAAACAATGTAAACGGACGACATTGGATAGTCAACACATGAATATAATAGATCTAAAGGAGTGAGGTGACTATTCTATAAGATGGAGAATTGGCTTACTAATACTGCAATTCTTTCCCGTGTATCCAGGAACACAGCTACAATTAAAATCATTAACAGCATCTGTGCAACTTCCCCCATTTTCGCATGGTCCATCAGCACAATCGTCGATATCTTGAAGGAAATTTAAAATTCGGAAAATATTTTGACATATATTAAGAAATAGTTGTAATACTAAGTTTTATTATCTATCCATAAAAGACTGTTGTCGCTTTGGTTGCTCTCTCCGGTTGCATTGACTTCTTCCAAATACCCCATCACATTCGGTTCGGCCTCTAAAATGAGTTTCAAGTTAATGCTCTAAGGAATGGGCCCTCCCAGGATACTTCGTTCCAATTAATCCACCGCCTGATTCTTAAATAACCAGCTCTAGCGTTGACCAAATTTAGAAGGCTCTTGCGAGACCAGTCTGATAAACTGTGGTCATCATAGTTAGGATAATTCCCCGCCTTCTGGCCCTGGATCTACATTTCACTCTATACATATAAGTATATACTTTATTTTTCCATCTTAGCCCTCAAATAGCAAAATAAGAACTAGTCGAGGCGGGCAGAGTGGAAAGGTTGTAGCGGTCATAAATATTAAATTAAAAGACGCTATGAAGATTATATTAAAGAACTAAATGAATTAAGCGGACGGATGAGAATTCCAAACGAACAAACAAACAAAACAAGCTAGAGCTACAAAAATAGTCTTACAGAAATTTACTAATGAACTATCAACAGGGGCACCCAACGAGAATATATAGTTCAAAACCACTTAAACATAGCAATGTTAAACGTATTTTAGTATTTAAACGGTAGATATAGGCATATTTTTATGCCCTAAACTTTTTCATCTGTTCGGATTTCCTAGCTGAAAGTCTAGTGATCCGAAAATCACAGGGATCAAAACTTACCTTTTCGAAAATTTCAGCCAGAAAAAAGGCTCCCGAAAATTCTAGGTGGCCTTTTTACGGGAAAAATCCGTTAAAAATGGGCAATTATACCATTTTTTAGATGTTTGAAAATCCTAGGAGAGGCAGGCAAGCAAGAAATTTTACAACAAATGTTCCGAAAATTCTAGATCTCAAACCGTCTTCCGAACAGATATTTTCCGTAGATTGACGTTGGGTGCCCCTGTATCAATTATTAGTGCAGGAAGTTGTGGCTGCAGATTTTGCAATTTTTTGTAGCAGATGGGCACTTCAACATAATCATCCTCTGTTGCCATTATCGAGAGCAATAAGTCATGAAAATGTTTTTTTTATAAAAGCTTATGTAGTTGTTAAATCAGTAATTAATTGCTGTAAATAACCTGATTCTATTACATGGAGCATTGGCTTACCAATACTGCAATTCTTTCCAGTGTATCCAGGAAGACAGCTACAATTAAAATCATTCACAGCATCTGTGCAACTGCCCCCATTTTCGCATGGTTCATCAGCACAATCGTCGATGTCTTGAAGGAAATTTAAAATTCGGAAAATATTTTGAAATAAATTAAGAAATAGCTCTAATTCTAAGTTTTATTATCCATCCATAAAACACTGTAGTCGCTTTAGTGTTTGCCCTTTCTGGTTGCATTGACTTCTTCCGAATACCCC